CCCCCCCGTCTTCTCCATGGCCGGGAGCGTCCCGGGCCAGGTGTGGTGTGGCTTTTCCTGAGTGTTTGCTTTTCCTGAGACGCTTCCCTTGCGGGGCTCAGTATTTCTTCGGCAACCCCGTGTCCCTCCCTGCCCGCTGGTCCTGGTCTGCCCGACACATACTGGCCCCCACGTGCCCTCTCTGTGTCCACCGGGGTCTGGAGCCACGCCCCACAGCACCCGCCCCCACACGCACCCTTGAAGTCGTGGGGCTGGTCAAACCGCAGCTGGATCTGGTCCCGGAAGCGGCTGCTGCTCTGGCACACACTGGTGACCCCGAAGCAGAAGCAGGGCAGGCAGGAGGCGCTGGGCTCCAGGAAGAAGTGTCCGTCGGGGCAAGGGCCTGTGGGGCGGCAGGGCAGGATGGCAGTGAGCCACGGGCAGGGGGCAGGTGCCCCTTCCCGCCCCACCCCCACCCCCGCCCGGGCAGCGGCACCTCGCTGGGGGATGAGCTCCAGGACTCCGTCGGGGATGCCGAACACCATGCCTCGCGCGTTCATGGCCTCACAGGTGTAGGCGCCCTGGTCTGCTTCCTTCACATCGTGGATGGTCAGTGTGCCACGGCCACCCTCGGTGGTCATTGTCACCCTGGTGGGCCCAAGACAGCAGTGGGTCAGGCCTGGGCCACTGGTGGCACTGCTTCTATACTCTTGGCACCCCTACTTGGGCCCAGAGTCACACCTGGGATGAGAGGGGATGTGGCCCCAGTTGAGTCTCCAGTTGATGATGGGGGTGGGGACACCAATGGCCACACAGGTGAAGGTCACTGTCTGGCCCCGGGAAGCCTGGATCAATTCCTGGGGAGGGGTCACCACCTGGGGAGGCACTGGAGAGACGGGAGCAGGAGTGAGGGGTCGGAGGGGTGACATGGAGAGGAAGGGTCCCCGCGGAGCCCAGGGGGGAGGGGCAGTGGCTGGGCCTGGAGAGGGGCCAGCGGAACCCTGCCCAGGGCCAGGCCCGCATCTCGCCCCCAGGTCCCTGCTCACTGCAGCCAAACTCGTCGCTGCGGTCGGGACAGTCGCTCTCCTCGTCACAGTGGAAGCTGGCAGGGATGCAGGCGTTGGTGGAGACACAGCGGAACTCCGTGGGCTTGCACACATCCTCAGAGTGACCGGCAGCTGGGGGACAGAGTGGGTGGTGTGGGCACCAGGGCACTGCCCACAGGCAGCTCCCCGTCCCCTACCCACCTCAACACCCTCCTTGCCACCTTCCTCAGAGGTCCCCAAGGTCACTATGTCATCTCACCCTGGTGAGCTGCCCGCACCAGGCCCGGCCACTGCTGCCACATCATGGCCAACAGTGTCATGTCCAGCAGGACACAGTCACAAGCCTGCCACCAAACAGCTCCTTACACACTCGCCTCCAACACTTACTCCACTGCATTCCCCAAAACGGACCCTACCCTGCACCTCAGTCAGAGCCCAACGGGTCACCCAGGCTGCTGAGGTGAGGATGTTTGTCCTGCAAAGGCTCATGGGTTGGGACTCTGGTCCCAGTGTGGTGATGTGGACCTTGAGCTGGGGCCTAGGGGCTGGGGCTGGGGCTCAGCGGTAGAGCACTCGCCTAGCAAGTGGAGGGCCTGGGTTCATCCTCAGCACCACATAAGAAATATATATATATAAGAAAGGTACTGTGTCCAACTACAACTAAAAAATAAATATTAAAAAAGAGGTGGGGCCTACTGGGGGTCCTTGGGCCCTCGTGGGGGAACCCTGGGAGGGACTGCGGGAGCCCAGTCTCTCTCTCTCTCCTGTTTCAAGATGTGAGCTCTTCCTCCCACACATGCTCCTACATCTGCTAGGAGATGATGCAGCCAAGGGGGGTCCTCTCCAGAGCCCACATGATGCTGGTTGGACTTTCAGCCTCCCAAACTGTGAGCTAAATAAACCTCTTTTCTTTATAGCTAGCCTGCCTCATGTGCTTCATTATAGTAATGAAATACAGACCAACACCCAGACCTCATATATTCAGACACCCTCTGTTACAGAAGTGCCACCTTGAATAGACAAGACCCTCAAAGAGGTTGGCACCTGCAAATATAGGTAACCCATACTGCTCTCTCTATGAGCCTCCCCACCTGGGTAACTGTCAGATATCAGCAGTGTCCAAAGCATTGGCAAGAGGAATAGGTGGTGGATAGACGGCAGATGGGAGACAAATGGATGGAGGGCTGGAAGATGCAGAGAGGACAGGGGTGGACGGTGGCTTGCGTGGGAGGGAGGACGCTGGGTAGTGGTAAATAACTGGCTGCGGCTCTGGGTGGCAGATGACAGGCAGGAGGCTGGGTGAATCGGGGGGTAGATGGTTGAACGAATGACCAGATGGGCCAAGAGCCGGATGATGGGGGAGCAAATAACAGAACCAGCCTTAGGTGAGAAACCTCTAGGCCTGTACCATGGTCCGACTGTGTCCGACATTCACGTGTTAGAAACCGAATCCCAACCCACAGCCCCGAGAGGTGAGACCCTGAAGAGGTGACTAGGTCCCGGAAGCTCTGCACTCGAGCATGGGCTACTGCTACCATCCCAGGCGTGGGCTGCTATGAAAAAGGATGGCTGGTCCCCTCTCATTCTCACTGTGATGCCTTCCTCCACGTTAGGCTGCAGCGAGGAGGCCCTCACGGGCTGTGGTCCCTCAGTCCTGGATTTCCCAGCTTCCAGTGCTGTGAGTTCTCTAAACTGTTTTTGCTTATAAAGCACCGAGTCTCAGGTGATCTATTACAGCAGCGGAGAATGGGCAAAGCCAGCTCATAGGGGAAGACACTGATGCACACACACATCAAGGTCCCCATCATCAAGGGGACCAGGCATATCAGCCCTCAGTCATTCATCTGACAAGCTAGGAGCAGAGACTAAAGACCACAAAGACTAAAGGTAGGTGCCCAGAGCAGGAGTCCTCACTGCTTGATGCCTACGCTGGGGCCTGCAGCATCAGGGAAGGTGGCACCCTGTGAGGCAGAGGTGCGGCGGGACTGGGCTGGGGTGGAGCAGGGGTGCCCCCCAGACCCTGGGACACTCACGGCAGTCGGCCTCGTCCGTGTGATCCTCGCAGTCAAAGTCGCCATCGCAGCGCCACAGCTTGAGGGCACAGTGCCCATTTCCACAGGCGAACTCGTTGGGCTCACAGGGTGGTGGGGGCTCTGTGGGCAGCAGGTGGGGTTCAGCAATGGCTCCCCCAGCGCCCCACGCCAGACCCCCGCACCCCTCGCTCACCGCAGCCCAGCTCGTCGCTGCCGTCCTTGCAGTCCTCCTGCCCGTCACAGAGGTAGTCCTTGGGGATGCAGTGCCCACTGTGGCACATGGCCTCTTGAGGCCCACAGGGCACGGGGCTGCCTGGACTGGGCAGCAGAGGATGGGGAGCAAGGGTCTCTGGTGGCCTCCGTGTGGGGGCCGCCTCTGGCCAGTGCATTTGAGGTGTCGCCTCCACCACTGATGGCCCGGGGCCCAGCTCTGGGACAGGCTCCTCTGTGGACAGAGCCCTTGGTGTTGAGCCCCACGTCCCTCAGACCCTCCCTCACCCCTCAAGCCCACTCCCTGCCACACCTGGCACCCCAGCCCCGACTACCGTCACCCTTCCCTGTCTCCCTGGGCCAGCACCAAACTCTCACAGCCCCAGATCGACTCTGGGACCCGGTCATAGGCACCTGACCCTCCACAGGCCACCTGTGTCCCCAGATAGTCGCTCACCACAATCGAGCTCATCGGACATGTCCCTGCAGTCAGGTCGCCGGTCACAACGATACTCCAGGGCCACACACTCATTGTAGCTGTGGCAGGCAAACTCGGCCTCGGTGCAGACCCTGGGGAGCTGGGGCACTGTGGGGGTGCAGGGAGTCAGGGCGGCAGGCGGGAGGCTGCGGGGCGTGCGGCAGACGGCACGGGCACCGCGTGGCTGTGAGTGGGCTTGGGCGCCCAGCATCAGGCCACTGTGGCAGACACGACGGGGACAGGAGCACTCGGTGGACACACCCACAGCACGCACAGGCACGGGACAGTGGCAGTGGCCTCGCCCACCCCCACGTAGATCTACACTGACATGCCACACACATGCAGGCACTGCACGCACACGGCGGGCCACAGCCTGGCCAGCAGGGACAGGGAGGGCGAAGGCAGCTGCAGGCTCTGCCCGGCCACCGGGCCTTCGCCCTTCTCTCCCTCTGCCCGTGACATTCTCTAGGTGTCCCGCTGGGCCCCAGCCGGGCTCACACTCTCACCTGGTGTCACTGCAACCCCCACAGCGGCCAGCGGGGGTGGGGGGGTCTGTGCTGGAAAGGAAGGTGTGGTCAGCAGCCATCCCACCCGGGGCCTGGCGCTGAGGGCCCGGCCATCCCACCCTCCACCTCTAGCCAGGACTGGTTGAAGCTGGGTGAGGAGGGCGGCCCAGCCATCTTCAGGCCCGGGTCAGGGGATGCCAACCAAGCAAGCTTGGTCCTGGGGGCAGTGCAGAGGGTCATAGTTCACTGTTCTTCTCCTGGTTGGGCTAAGCCATGGCAGGAACGGAGTTTGTCCTGTTCTGGGTTCCACTGAGTCAGAGGGAGGTGACATGTTGGAGCCTCTCCAGAGAGGAGATGGCTGGGAGTCAGAGCTGAGAGGAAGGAACTAGAACTCGCATACGGAAGACTAGACTGCGGTCAAAATGGGAGTCCGAGTCGTGACCCTGAGCAGGAGGGCCAGGCTTCCAACACCTGTACCACTTTGGCCAGTTTCCTGTTCTCTCCAAGCCTATTCTCATCTGGTCACAGGCTATGGCCACAGGGTTTGGTTTCCATTCTCGCCTCTCCACTGTCTGCCTGCACAGTGTGAACGAGCCCCCTCCTTCCTGCGCCTCAGCCTCCTCATCTCCAAAACATGAGGACGCTGTTTCCTAGGGACTGCTAAGCAGCCTGGATGCAAGGGCCCGGCATAGCCTCGGTGCTCGGGGAAACAACCGTGGCTGGATGCAAGTTTGTGGTGGTGTGGTCAGTGGACAAATGTCTGCACGGGGTGGGCAGGAATGGGGTCTGGGTGCAAGTTGAGCACGCAGTGTTCCACCCCAGCCGACACCCCACAGGGCCCATGGGGCAGCTCAGGAAGTACTGAGCTCTCTGTCCCTAGTGGAGGACAAGCCGAAACCAGGAAAGCTCACAGTGGAGACACCAAGAGGGGACTCACTCAAGTCTAAGAAACCAGAGCAGGTGACCCCAAGTCCCAGAATAGGCTCACCTGTGCCCAGGCGTCGGAACTGGAATCCTTGGGGGGAGGTGACATAGGAGTCGATGGAGCCCCTAGAGATGACCGTGTGCAGCACTTCCTGAATCTGAGCCCCGTCCGCATTCCCTTCTGAGCCCACGTCCAGCTCCACGAAGACCCAGCCGTCCAGCTCCCTGGGGTGGGAAGGGGCAGGGGGAGAGAGAGGCCTGTGTTCTCAGCTTCTCCATTCAGCCCCGCCAGGCCCAGGCTTCATCCAGCACAGCCTGGGCCCAAAGCAGGGCCAGTCAGTGTCCAAATTCCCCGCCTCCAATTCCTGACTTTTCACCCCAGTGATTCTCCCATCAGGCCTTTCGTGCCCAGGCTCCTGTGCCACCTCCTTGGCCCCTGCAGGCGCCCCAGGGACCCTTCTCACTTGATGAATACCACGCTGACGACCTGGTCTCCCGGGATCTTCAAGTACTCCGACTCCAGCTGCGGAGGGACACGGCGCCGTCAGCCCCCGGGCGCCTTCCCCTGCCCACCCGCCATCCGCAGGGGGCTCCCTGACCCTCCACTTGCCTTGTCCACCACAGCCTCAGACACCTCCCGGAACTCCCTGGAGCCTGCGTCCTCCAGCCGAGGGCTGTACTTGATGGAGTGGGTGAAGTTTACCAGGGCCCGGAAATAAACTGGAAAAGAGGGGAGGCCTGCCAACGTGAGGGCCTGGCCTGGCACGTGGGGGCCTCTGGCTGCTGGATGGATGGCGGAAGGGGGAGCCCGGGAGGCCCCCCACAGGCTGACAGAAGCCCATGTGCACGGCCCAGCTCGCCCATGGAACACAGGCTGTGGCGGCCTGTGGCCTACCCAGGACTCACCGCAGAGGCCCCAGCCCGACAGAGGGGCTTCAACTAAGAGGGCAAATGGGCTGACCCAGAACCCAAGTGACAGTGCAGAGACCCCAGGGGCTCAGAGGAAGGCTGAACAAGGCACATGGCTTGCACAGAAGGCTGGCCCGACACGGATTCCCTGTGTGTGACAGGGATGTGCCTCTCCAGCCTGGCTGGTCCCCTCATCTGTCCAATGTGGCTCAGCCATTGCCTCCTCCAGGAAGACTGCCTGAGCTGCCCTGGTTGGCCGGGGACCCCTCCTCGGGGCTCCCACAGCACCCTTCCCCTGCGCTGCTCAGGCCCTGCTGGGTTACACGTGGACAGTAACAATCATGGTTCTTTTGTTTTGTTTTTTTGAGACAAAGTCTCTTGCTCTGTTGGCCAGGCTGGCCTTGAACTCCAGGTGCTCCTGCCGAGGCTTCCTGAGCAGCTGGGATTACAGGCACGACCCGCTGTGCCCAGCGGAAATCACTGTTCGGAGTCAGCCACATCTCGGCACCGACCCCATCTCTGGGCTTCTGTTCCGGTAAAGTGGGGGTTTCAGCCGCATGTACCACTGGGTGCCACAAGAAGCTAATTGGTGCTGCGCTCACCACACCTCTTCCTGGGCTCACGCACAGTCTCTGGCACAGAGCGATCTCTCGGGCATCAGAAACCCAGGCCACTTTCTCTCCCTACCACCTGACGGCTCCATGGGGGGACCCTCGGCTCTCTCCCAACCCCGAGCCCCGGCACGTGCACAGTGTGAGCACATGGCAGGGGCTTCTAAGTGACTGCTGAGAGAACTCACGTCATCCTGGTGTGAACACACTCAACCATTCTTCTTTCAGCACTTACTACACCTAAGACACTATGTAGCCACTGCCTTTTATAATGCTCTTGAGTTTCGATGTGTTACAAAGACAAATGAAATTCAGTAGCAAATGAGTCACACACACAGACTAGTCCACAATCAATGCTGGATAAATACCGGCTGACTCAATTCATACCCTAGGGCTGCAGTACACACAGAAGGGGGTATGCATACGCACACATGCACGTGCACGCGCGCGCGCACACACACACACACACACACACACAATCATTTCTTGAGCACCTACTATGTACAAAATATTTTTATGCATTAAATCTAATACTGCTTGTGAATGAAGGTATAAATTATAAATACCAAGTAGCTGTGAGTCACCAAGGACTCTTCAGTGGGTATGGAGGGCTCAGAACACAGCCTGGCACCGACGGGGTGCGCCGCACGGAAGGCCGTGCGGCTCAGGAAGCCTCTGGAACTCAGCTGCCCCTGACAGCCCTGTGACCCCAGGCAAGCACTCTGCCCCTCCATGCTCTCAGCCCCCACCTGGAACCTTAGGTAAGAGCAGTGCCCACATGAGGGCACTGTGAGGATTACCGGGTGATGAACACGCTGGTGCCAACAGCATGGGGGCGTGGCTGTAATTATAACCCTGACTTCAGGACAAACCTGACGTAGATCTGGCTTTATTTCTTCCCATCCAAGAAAGATATTCATCCCCTGAACAAGTCCACGTGGAGGGCCCACTGTGCAGAGACCCCAGGGGCTCAGAGGAAGGCTGAACAAGGCACATGGCAGGAGATGTCAGGGCAGGAGAGGCAGCCTTCTGTCCCCGTGGAGACAGAAGCAGCAGTGGACTCTCCAGCAGGGACAGAAAGGAAACCCAGGAGAAGAGTAGGGACAGGCGCTACAGGAGCCGACGAGGAGGGCGGGGGAGGGGGCTGGGGAGGCGGAGGGAGAGCAAGCCCAAGTGCAAAAGGCCAAGCGGGCAGTGGGCTCAGAGAGGCCGCAGACACGGGCAGAGCGGGCAGACGCGTGCGGGCGGGCGGCACAGGGAGCAGCAGGGCCTTCCACCTGCCTCTGGTCCCCAGGCCCAGAGGTGCGCAGCCCGGAGCCAGGACTCTCTCCCTGTGCTGCTCAGGTGAGCGCCCTGGGCTGGTTCGCTGACCAGGTCAGGGGCGGACTTCCACCCTGAGCCACGATGCTCTCGAAGGTCCCCGTTCGGAACCACAGCCACGGGCCAGCAGGGCTGGGCTCTTGGGTGCTGGGTGGGTGGGGCTCTGTGGGCCAGAGCGTGGGGGCCGCGAGCCCAGCCACAGAGGCCTCTTGTGAGCCGGCACAGAGGCCCATTGAGAGTCCCCCACCCCGGCCCCTGGCCTCAGCCCACAGCCCAGCGCAGGCGAGGAGGCCGGGCCTCTGCCCAGGAATGCACCCACTCCCAGGGGAGGGGGCCAGAGCTCCACAAAGCCCCTTTCTACTGGGGCCTGGGAAGGGCCCCGACTCTCCAGCCTGACCCCTTCCCTCCCTTCTCCCAGGCCCGGGGCAGGTCAGGGCAAGCCCTGGGTCTCCAGCCTGAGCTGCTGTCCTGCCACTGGTGCCTGAGCATCAGGGCAGAGGTGAGGCCTGCGGGGCTCAGGAAGCAGCCCCGGAGCTGAAGGTGTCGGGGCAGCTAGAGACGGAGGCCTGGGGGTGAGCAGGCTCGGCCAGCCCTCTCCCTCCTGGCCTCCTTCCCACCCTACCTGAAACAGAGGCAGGAGCGGGGGCCGGAGCAGCCCTGTGCTGAGGTGGAGTAGGACACGCACTGTCCACCTCAGGCCTGAGCAGGCCACCCCACCAATTCCCAGTGCCCCCCATGCCCAGCAGAGCTCCCCGGGCACCCTGGGTCCCCTAGTGAGCCTGGGATCGGCCTGTCCTGAGGTAGACACATGCCTCCTGTGCAGTTGGGAAAAGAGAACAGGAGAGCAAGGGCAGGGGTCGCAGGGAGGACGAGGAGGGGGCCCAGGGCCTGGGGTGATGGAGACGAGACCCCTTATCAGACTCCACGACCATCATGCCAGCACAGAGAGGGAGAGGTGAGAAGCGGGGACAGACATGGGAGACGGAAGCAGGGGTGGGGAGCAAAGGCAGAGGGGAGCCGGAAATGCAGAGTGGCGGAAGCCGGGCAGGCAAACACTGCAGCACAGAAAAGAGCCCAGGGCAGGAGGGGAGCAGGGAGACAGGTGTTTCTGAATAGCAGGGAGCACCAGACGCGGCCTCAGCTGGCCGGCTGGCTTGGCAGAGGCCGGGGGCCTCAGTACCCACCACCCTGGGATGTGGCATGTCCCTGGGGCTCGCCTGACACTCCCATGCCCAGGCCACACCTGGCCCCCAGGTCCTGTCATCCTATACGGAGCTGTACTTGAGGCGGAGGCAAGTCCAGGTGAGGGAGGTCACAGTCAGGACCAGGCCAAGCTGGGCCCAACCCTCCCACCGGCACTGGTCCTCCTGGATGACCCTGCCTACCAGCTGGGCAAGTGCCCCCACTCCTGGGGAGGTCCAGGCTGCTTCAGAGGCCTGTGGCTGGTTGGTTCTCAGCCCCCATCAAAACTAGGTTTTGGTGCCCACTGCCCTGAGCGGCTCTTTCCTGTGCCTGTCACACAGCCTGCTATCCCCAACCTCGCAGGGACTGGCCAACCAGCGCCCGGACTGTCTACAGGTCAGAGTGCACCTGCCTCTCCTTTCCCAGGGCAGGCCCAGGGAGCCCTCCAGGCCATCAGCCCAGAAGGGGGGTCATCCTCTGCTTAGGAGGCCTGCCCTGGAGCTTCCGAGGGGGCAGATTGGGGACCTACAGCCACTTACCCATCTGGAAGTCCCCACTGCCCAGATCTCCACTGCCCAGGTCATCTGCAAACAAAAGAGAAACACACTCAGCAACGTTCACACGTTCCCAGAGCACCTCCCAGCTGTCGGGTAGGGTTGTGGGCCCTGGAGTGTGCAGGGAAGGGTCACGGCTGCCCTCCTCCACATGCCCAAGGAAAGCTAGCCTGTGAAGTCAGCTTAGAGGACTCCATCAGAGAGGGTGTGGACCCAGTCCCAAACTCCAGGGACTCCGTGATTTGTCTGATGGCTGGGGCAGACTGGCCTCCAAGGAGGACGAGGAGGATGCAGGGCAGAGACTGGGTGATGACCCCGCACTGTGCACTGCCAGTACTTTCCCCAGTGGTCCTGATGCTCCCAGGCCACAAGGAGGAGTGGTGACCAGCCCAGGTCACAGAGATTGTAAGTGGAGGATGCTGAGGTCCTCAGGGCCAGGACTCAGGATGCACGTGGCCCACCTCCCGAGGCCCTGCCTGGGGTGGGCTTCACGTGGACTCCTGAAGGGCCAGTGGGAAGAACCAGACCCCACCCCGCAGCCCAATCTCCCAGCTGAGGCCCCTGGCACCTCCAGACGCATCGTCAGCCAGCAGGTCCTCATCGTCAGAAAGGTATGCGTAGCTCCAGCCAGCCCGGCCCACGGTGACAGTCTCTGTGTCCTCAGGCAGAGACAAGCCATCATATGCCCTGAGCCCGCGGGTCACCTGTGAGAGATGACAGAGCCAACTGAGTCATATTTCCTAGCTACTGCCAAGCCCTGGGGCCTTCCCCTCACCTCAGGGAGGACCCAGAGTCTACCCCATAGCTGTCCAGCGGTAAAATTAGACATAGCTTGGCTAAGAGAGCCAGGTTGGGCTGACCACTGGTTTTGTTTTGTTGGTACTGGGGATTGAACTCAGGGGCACTCAACCACGGAGCCACATCCCCAGCCCTATTTTATATTTTATTTAGAGACAGGGTCTCACTGAGTTGCTTAGCATCTCGCTTTTGCTGAGGCTGGCTTTGAACTCGTGATCCTCCTGCCTCAGCCTCCCAAGCCTCTGGGATTGCAGGCGTGAGCCACAGCGCCCGGCTGAAACACTGTTTTTGACTCAGTTTCCCCAGATATTGGCCTCTGGAGGCCTCAGTGCCCAACCCTGCAAATTCTGAAAGAATTTTCAAACAAAGCAGCCAATAAAATGAATATCACTTAGTAAACGATGTCTCCTTTTTCTTTGGAGAAGGCAAGGGACAACCGGGACATGAGTGAATGGACGGCTGGGGGTGGGGGATACCAGCAGTTAAAGGGTGACTTGGACCAGCAAGGATAGGGGACATGGGCAAGTGGAAGGGTAGCCAGGTCAGCACAGAGGGGAGAGGCGGATCCAGGCTGCTCCTCCAACAGCAGCTCCCCACACCCACGCTGGCCACCCCCCTCTGCTTCAACTGGGTCCAGGCCCCCAGGCTGCAGGACGCTCGCCGTTGCCCTGAGCTCGGGCACTTTCCGCCACACTGATAGGCTCCTCCATGCCCGGGGTGAGGCCCGGCTGTTGGGCTGAATGGGGGCAGCACAAGCGCGGTGTCAGCTCCGTGTGACCTCGGGCTAAGCTGAGCCCAGCACAAGCTCCCCTGAGGCTCCGGTTCTGCAGAGGGCGCGAGGCCCTGCACCCGGGCTCTGGGGTGTGGTGTGGGCAATGGACGCTGCTTTCCCCTTGGATGTCTCCACAGTTTTCCAGGTAACTTCGAGGAAGACAAACCCAGGGGAGCCCCAGGTCACACGAGCCCACAAGCAAAAACATGCACAGTCACTCTGGCCCCTTAAGCCATGTCCAAACGTCCTGGTTCGAGGGCCCCTGGCATGGTGAAAACCAAATCCACCGCTAAACAAGGGGGTGAAGCCCAAGGAAGAGAAAAAACTCAAGAGCCAGTGACACCCGGCTCCGTCCCCAGGTCCACATCCCCCCAACCCTGTTTAGCGGCTGGACCGTCCTTCCTCCCCTTGTTTATGGGGCCACTCTCTCTCCTGCTCCCACTCAGCTTGGACAGCCCCTCTTGAGGGCCCAGCAACACTGAGGCACAGGTGACAGGCTCGGCCGCAGGGATGATGCACGTGCCACCAGTCCATGCGCAGGAGACTCTGGGGCGTCTCAGGCAGCGATAGGAAGGGCAGCCGTTGCCTGGGCCCAGGGCTAGGCTGGGGGTGGCGGGGATGGCACACGAGGGAAGTTTTGGGTGCTCTTTAGAACCTGTGTCCACCTTATTCTCATTGCTGACCTGCACCAGTAAAGCAGGTGTACCTGCGTGGGTCACTGCCGTCTCAACAAGGAGGAGGCCGAGAAAAAAACCCCAGGGGCAGGGACGGTCCCAGCTGGGTTCCCACTGCTCCTGTGCGCATCCCACTGGGATGGACGCACCTGGAGGGCAGGGGCTGCGATGGACGGTCTCCACCTTCTCGCACCGAGCTCAATCAAGACTTGAATGAAAAAAATAAAATAAAAAGACTTGAATGAAGCCGGGCGCGGTGGCACAAACCTGTAATCCCAGCTACTCGGGAGGCCAAAGCAGGAGGATAGCAAGTCCCAGGCCAGCCTGGGCAACTCAGTGAGACCCCGTTTCTAAATAAAAACTAAAAAGGCTGGAGATGGAGCTCAGTGGGAGAGCACCCTGGCTCCAGGGCCCAGCACCTCAAAGAAGAAAAGGAGACTCGAATGAATGGACGTCAGCACCTACGAATTCCAGCTGCCTCCCCAAGACTTGCTTTGGAGGAGCGTCCACCCCCACGCAGTCTATCTGCAGCCCCTTCCTAGGCTCGGGGCTCCCGGGGGGAAGGGCTGGGAGCCACTGGTCGCGTGGTGTTTAGAGGCCTTGGGTAAGACAGGCTCTGCCACACCTTACCATTTCACAGCCTGCGGCCCCTTCCCCATGGTCCTTGGGCACCGCCACCTCCTGCTCTGCTCTTTCCACCGCAAGAGTGCCTGTCTCTGTTCTGAGTGGTGCCCCAAGGCCCTCTGGGCCACGTCCATGGCTCTTTAGAATCTCCAGAGCTGGTGGCAACGACTGATTCCTGGGCCCCAGCTCAGAGCCCCTGCACAGGGTTCTCATCCCAGGTTGAACGCACAGCTGTCAAGTCCAGGGGACTCTGACTGCCACGGGGTAAGACAAGGCCTAGGCTCAGCTTCCTTCCCTGGCTAGGGGTTGAGGGCAAGGTTTCCACTGGCTGGAGAGCGGGTCCCAAGCAGGCCCAGGTTGACTAGAGGGGAGCATGAGGCTAAGGCTAGTGTAGGAGCACTGCCTTTGGGCACAGGAGGTTTGAGCAGACAGGCTCGGGGTCTTCCCACCCGAAGATTCTTTATGCTGCCCTTTTCCTTCCCACGCAACAAGGCTGCAGAAACCAAGCACAGGGCACAGAGGTTCATGGCACCCCTAGACAATGCTCTCTGGAAAGGGAAACCTCGGTGGTGAGCAAGGTCCAGTGTTTTTTCCCAGGGAAAGAGCAGCTAGTGTGTGTGTGTGGGGGTGGGGGGGTGCTTGGGACCAGACAGGAAATAGCAAAGTGAGATTCAACATGGAAAAAATGCCAGGAACACACATCTGCAGCGAGAGGGGAAAGAGGACTCAGAGCATGCCAGGGCCTGGACAGGAGTCTCCCTGAGTCCCAGGGGTCCCAGGTTGTGGACCCTTCTAGACGCCACCCTGACCTTGCTCCAGTCCCCTCCCCAGGTCAGAGGTCCCAGGTCAGCTCAGGGCCCCCATCAAGGGCCAAGTCAGCCTGAGCAGAGACTTCTCTGGTTAAAGGCTGAAGATCAAAAGGCCCCAGCAGCTGCTTTTCACATCTGGGAGGAGAGATGGGGCCAGACGGAAAGGAGCACAGAGCAGCTGAGACTGGGCCAGGGACGGGCCTCAGATCAGGACCTGGAAGTTGGGATCTGCTTGGGGAGTAATGAGAGCTGCATTCACTGAGCGCCCTCCGTACACTGGGTGTGCGACGCTGGGCTGCAGGAGGCGGGGCGGAGACAGCCAGGTCACAGGCTGGAGCCCACCTGTGCAGGAGCTGGGTGTGGACCCAGAGGTCTGGCTCTGGTAAACCCGGCGCTGGGCTCACTGGGGGCCCCTCTCCAGAGCCCCTCGGCTCATCACTGCGGTTCACAAAGCACCTCCTCAGCCTCCGAGTCATCTGAGATGACAAGAACCCCCTGAGGTGGCCCAGCAGCCACGAATGATCCCCATTCACTGAGGGAACTGAGGCCCAGGGAGAGGCACCTCGTGCAGATCACGCTGAGCCCAGCTCCCCACCCCCAAGCCCTCTGCTACCTGGAAAGGAGGGGGGCTGGGGCTGTCCCCAAGGTCTGAGCCAAAGGCACAACTAGGAAGCCAGATTTGGCCAGGACCTGCTCCAACCTGACCAACTCACAGGGAGGCCCCAGGGATGCCCGAGCTGGCAGCAGCCTGGGCTGTGTGGCGCGTGCCTCGGTCCCCAGAAAGGCCATGAGTGGCTCCAAGGTCAGAGGCAGAAATAGAACCCAGGCTTCCTGCCCTCCAGCCCCCTCCGGCCATGAGGGAGCCCAGCTTCCTCCCAGAGGAACCCAGTACTTCAGTTGGGCGGATGGCGGCTGAGAGGAGGGGTCTGGAGGGAGACCTGGGCCAGAGGGGAAGGAACCAAGCTGAGAGGGGATTTTCCAGCCCTGCAGTTCCTGGGGGGAGGAGGCGGCTGACTCACAGGTCAAGGCCAGAAGTTTGTTCTTCCACCCTGGGAACAACTGCTTGGGGCAGGGATACGGGTAGGGTAGCCCCCAGGGGCAGGCACCCTCTGACCAGGGACTTCTGGGAGCACCTGCTCCCTTGGGCTGGGTGTCCAGGCCCTCCCAGTCAGGATGAGGGTGCACGCGGGGGGAGCTCCAGGTTCAAGTCCTGCCGAGGCTCAAGAGCACCAGGACAGAGGCTGGACCCTCTGCTGGGCAGGACAGCTCCTGGCACCGCAGTCAGGCCACACCCTCAGAGGCCCTGGGCAGCAGGCAGAGAAGGTGTGGGCAGGGAGGCCCAGGCAGAGATAGGACACAGGGTTTGAGGCTCCCAAGAGTGTTCTGAAGTGTGCACTTTTCAAAGATAAGAGTTTTCAGGTTCTGCTAAAATCAAAGTTGGTGGCAGATGGCAGCACAGGGACAGGACAGCAAGAAGGCTTCCTCCAAGCCAGGGCAGGGCTGGTGCTACGGGGACACTGTCCCCAGTCTGCAAGGAGAGAAATCCAAAGAGCCCTGGGAACCAGAAGTGTTGGTTTTGGTTTTTGACTTGCGGGGCTGGGGATGGAGCCCGGGGCCTCGGGCAGCTGGGCAGGGGCCACAGCCCCACTGAGGCCGTGGCACGCAGCCGGCGCATGCTCTCAGCACCTTTCTCCAAAACCTTCTGGATTCCAGAACACGCTGGACCCTGGGTTTCGGGCAGGAGACTACGTTGCTTACTTCCACTTTATGGATGAGGAAACAGGGGCTCAGGGAGGGCAGTCCACATATAGTAAGTGCTCAGTTAGTGCTCAAACGAACACCGTGCAGGGTGCAGGGGGGAGAGGAGGGGTGGGTGGATGAGGGGTGATGCGCGGGTGTGCAGGGTGTGGGCTCCGGCCTGGGTCACGCCAGGTGCGAGGTGAAGTGGGGGCCTGGGCCGCAGAGCTGGGTTCCAGGGCTGCAGTTGTCTGCCTGCTCTGAGGCTGGATCTGGGACACCCCAGGGGT